TCTCTCTCTCTCTCTCTCTCTCTCAATGCACATACAAGATCACGAAAAAAAGAAAGTAGTGCATAAAAATCAGACGTTGTATTTGCATACCAATTTTTGTTGTATAAACATTTTCTTTACTAGACGACACACACATCAAGGAAGAATTCAAGAGGCTAAAACACTTAAGTTCATTTTTGCACAAAAATATTAAAAAACAAGTTGAGCCCCCCAAATTTCCACATTTTCAAAACCAGCACCGTGTGTGGCCATTTGCCACACTAATGACGACGCAGGGAAAATATAAGTTACTGGGTAAACTGAGGGTGGAATTTGCTCCTAGATTCTTTCTAGCTATTGCTGACTTTCATCTAGCATTTGTGTCTGGTCAGTTTTCGCTGAGATTGATCTTTAACCATGGACATTATGTCCTGCAGTGATGCAGGACGCAATCTGTTCTAGAGATAAGCACGGTGGATGAGTCAGCCTTGTCTCTGTGTTGTGATCAGAGGCCTTCCACTTCTAGGTTAATCATTCGTCTGTCTAGACGCCCAGACACTTGCCCACAAACCCCCAATGCTGTTTCTGTGGACATTGAGCCTTTGAGCCACATCTTGCTGTGAACTTCCAGCCTGGAGTATTCCTAAGGCTGGTCTACTATCATTTCCCAGCAGACGTAGCATGTTTTAAAAGCAGAAATATTACTGTATTTTATGTTTTTCAAAACAAATGACTTAAAGTAAGGAAGTGAATCATAGACTCAAAATCGAAACACGTATACAAATAGTCGCATTATAAGGCGACTGAATGAATTTAAATCATAGAGTTCTATTTCTTGACAAGTAAGAATTTTCCGCTGAAACATAATGTGCGACTTACGGAAACTACTTACGTTAGCTTCCGTGCAAAATTTGGAGACTGTTTACTTTCATTATTTTCAATTATTTAAACTGTGACTATTTAAAGTATGCACACTCTCTTTTTCCCCGAGAGTGTATAACTCTCGAAATTTCGAGAACATGACGTCACAATCTTTTCTAAACGATAACGATTCTTATTGTCTGCTCAATGTAATCGTTCCTCAGCAAGTTTTAAAAGGGTGATAGAAAACCAGACATATTGATCGAAGAATGTTCCACAAAAGAACCCTAGAGCACAATACATGCCACGTCTGCACTCACAGGCTCCAAACGTCAACGGCCCTTCCGTACTTCCGGCCAGCGAAGAGTTCCGGTGCCGCGTACACGGGGCTGCCACATTGGGTGCTCAGGGGATGCTCTGATTGGTGGCACACCGAGCTCAGACCGAAATCTGGGGTATACATTATTTGCCAGTTTTGAGACTGATTTACAGAGCTGAGGTGTCTTTGCCCGCGCGTGTGAATAAGTGAATGAATGAGTGTGTGTGTGTGTGTGTGTGTGTGTGCGCGCGCGCTGTGTATGTGTGTGCGTGTGTGTGTGTGTGTTTTACGTGTATGTCTTACAGTTTGAGTGAGTGAGTGAGTGAGTGAGTGAGTGAGTGAGTGAGTGAGTGAGTGAGTGGGTGAGTGAGTGTAATGTGTGATGTGTGGTATGTGCCTTATGTGTGTATGAGGGTGCGTGTATCTATGTATACATGTGTAAGTGTGTATGCGTATGTGTATGTTTTATGTGTGTCTGTGTGTGTGTTTGTGTGTCT